CGCCCTCCGCGCGTCCCTGCCGCGCTCCGATCCCTGCGGCCAGCCCGGGGCGCGCTCGGTGCTCCGGGCAGAGTGTCCCCGCTGCGGCCCTGCGGCCATGGCCACCAAGATCGACAAAGAGGCTTGCCGGGCGGCGTACAACCTGGTGCGCGACGACGGCTCGGCCGTCATCTGGTGAGAACTTCCCATTGCTCTCCGAGCCCCGCTCCCGAGCTCGCGGCGGGCCTGGTGCGCTGAGCCGGCTTCCAAACCGGGCGGATTAAGGGTCATCTGTGCCGTCTTCCGCAGCCCTAACCCGGGACAGCGTGGGAAGCCAGCGCTGGCTTCTCCCCAGCCAGAGCATCTCTTAGCTTGTCCTGCTGGAAGCTTGGCACCATGCAGCTACCAACGCTGATGTGTGTGTGTGTGTTTTTCTTCTCTCCATCCAAAGGGTGACTTTTAAATATGACGGCTCCACCATCGTCCCCGGCGAGCAAGGAGCGGAATATCAGGACTTCATCCAACAATGCACAGGTAGGGAGACGCGCTTTTGGGGGGAATTCCTGATCTTTTGGGAAATTGTCAAAGCCTGGGGAGGAGCGACGGAGGCCAAACTGGGAGGAGCCGTGGCCACTCTAGGCGCCTCTGGCGCTGCAGGAACCAGATTTGAGCGTTTTAAAACCTCATCAAGTCTTCTCCCCTCTGGACATCCAGAGGAGCCCGAGGTGACCACCTGGCTTCCTTGCTTCCGCAGTACCCTCTCCAGATGGGACAGCTCCTTTGCCCTCTGCGGGTCACTGGTTTTCCACAGTCAGCTCAAGCGGTTCCAAACTCCAGTGCTCAGCCCTCCCACCTCCCCTTTGATGGGTCAGTGAGCCAAAATAAAAATCCTGGAGCTTACTGCAGGAGCAGGAAACTGTCAGCAGCACCCTCCTGTCTCTCGCAGTCATTGTCCCTGTGCTGGTTATATACGTGTCTTTTATGTGAAGAATATAAAGCCGGATATGAAAGGGTACACACCATATGCCACTATTTATGGGAAATTGTAGAAAAGGCAGAGCTAATCTATGGTGTGAAAAGTCAGAAGAGTGGTCCCATTTTGGGGTAGACAGCTACTGACTGGGAGGGGGCACACGGAAGGCTGGGGTGGGGTGGGGTGGAAATCTCTCACATTTTGATCTGGGAGGTGGTTACACAGGTGTGTACCTATGTAAGAAATCATCAGCAAAATACTTAAGATTTGTAAACTTTGTGCACTTCCCTGGGTGTGTGAACCACGAAAAGGAAAGAACGCACGGTGTGTATGACTGTTAACCCCTCCGTAGAGGCGGAGGTGCAGCCTCATTGGTAATAGGACCCTTTAAAGCTGAGACTGGAGAACGGGCTCTCTGGGTCCCTGGTCTCTAGCTTGGAGGCAGATATGTTCAGACAAAGGCAGCGCAGCCTGGAGGTTAGGGCAGGGACTCTGAGCCAGCCGGTGGGTCTGAATCCTGGAGTGGCCACTTCCTAGCTGTGTGGTTTGGCGCAGGTTGCTTAACCTCTCGGGGCCTCGATTTCTTCTTCTGTGATTTTGGAGGGCTCATGAGGATAAATGAGTCCGTGTGTGTGAAATGCTCAGGACCGTGCCCATACAAGCTACATGGTCATTTGTGAAATAAATAAAAAGTACAAAATTGTGCCAAGGTTCGTGTGGCTGCGCCTTTTCTTAACTGCTTCCCTAATCAGATGATATTTGCATTTAGTTTGATTCAAAGAATATTTATGAAGTATCTGCTATGGGCTGGGTGGTACTATGGTTTGTTTGGGTTTTTTTTAATGTTCTCCCAACTAAAATGTCTCCCTGAGAGCTCTCTCTAGACAGTCACTCATTGCTTTTGTAGAGGGTAGGTTTAAAATATTAGATGCAGTAAGTACTATAAAAACTCACGTTTAATTAGGTGCACAGGGCCTCTTGTGGAGAGTCGGTGGGGCAGGATTTGAACCCAGACCTCTGGCTCAGGAGCTCTGTCTCCACGATGTCTTTCCCTCTGCCACCGTGGTGAATGCTTCTGCAAGTAGAAAAGTGCGAACTATTGACTTGGTCCTTGATTTGGTGCACAGCTAGGAGATTCAGCACAACTGGGATGTTTTTTGCCTTGCCGTCTCTGAGGCTTTGTCTCACAGGCCAGCTTCCCTCCTCCCGGAACTCAGGACGGTCAACTAGCAGTTTCTTTCTCCTGCTGGCCATCCATCACCCCACCCCCATCAGACCGGGTTCCGCCTTTGAAGCTATTGTTCTCTCCACCAAGGAGGACAAGGTGACAGAGAAGAAAGAGCATCCTGTTAGTAGATTTCCAACAGATGCTCCTGGCCGTGGGCGAAGCTGGGAGGGCTCGGTGCGGTCACCGCTTCCTTCCTCCCTCTGGCTCTGCCGGTGTCTGCTCCGACCCTTCCCCCTACGACTCGGGTGGGAGTGGGGAGTGTCTGGTGGGGGAACTAAAAATGTTTTGCCTGCTGCTTGTTGATCTTATGAATGGGCCGTGGGATCTGCAGGCTCTGTCTGCTTTGGCTAGAAGTCTGCCTTCCTTCCCCAGCCATCTGTTGGACAAACGTACAGGCGAGGTGTGGTTGCCGTGTTTGCTCTTGTTCCTCTCGGAAAAGCTTGTTCCCTCCCACTGTCGTGTCCCCATAACCCAGTGACAAAGGAATCAGAACACCGACTGGTAACTTTCTATATGCAAATCACTGCACTTGACATGCCTTGTCTCCATTACTGAGATTGTTCCCCTTCCACAGAAGAGTAAACCAAGGCCCAGAGAGGTTAAGTGACTTGCCTGAGATCACACAGCTAGGACGTGGCAGAGCTGGGACTTGAACCCAGGCAGGCTGGCTCTGAGGCCCATGCTCTTGGCCTCCTCCCTCAGGAAGTGGTTTAGATTCTCATCTTCAAGCCATGAGACTTCTTCAGTGGCGCAGCAGGTTCTGGTCGGGGCTTGTGGGATTGTCTGCAGGTTATGAAGACATATTTGCCCACTTGTGTGATGCAGGGAGGGCTCTTTGTGGCCCTAATTCCCGGCCAGGTATCCTGACAGGCCCATGCTGTGAAGACAAGCACCCAGTCTGGCACAGCCTTCCTATTCCAAACATCTTCTCGCAGGGTGCGCAGGGTTCTTGGAAGCCCGAAAGAGCACCTGGTCTCTTCCTCCATCAGCTCTGGGGGGGTGAAGGGGGGGTTTCCTCCTGGGCTTTCTCTCCTCCCTGACAGCCCCCCCTCAGGCATTCTGTCTCTGAAACACCCTCCTTCCCCTTTCCTCTGCCCTCTGGCTAATTGTCAGCGTTTTCTCCTGCTCTCATCTCTCCTCAGCCCCCTGGCCTGGCCTTTCCTTGTCTACTGCAGCTGTTTTCTGGAAGGTCGCCGATCTCAAAATTGCTGGGCCCTCATGCTGCTGTTTCTTTCTGCTGGCAGGCCTTGGAGCCCTCTGTGCCCCTGCTCTTCCTCGTCTGGCGCTGGACTTGCCTGGCTTCTTTCTTTCTGTGCTGACCGCTCCGTCAGCGCCTCTGCTCTTGCTTTTTGCCCCATTCAGTCCCGGTGGGATGCTCAGAGATCTTTCAGGTGCACTGAGAGAAGCCCAATGCAGATTAGTTTAAGCAGAAAGTCAGTCTGTAGCTTCCCCACTTGGAGAGTCCAGGGGAAGTATGAGGTGCAGGGAAGGCTGCCCGAACTCGAAGCCCGTCTCCTCCATCTCCTAGCTCTGCCTTCCTCTTTTATCCCTCTTCTTGGGGGCCGGAGGGCAGATTCTCCCTGAGTGGTGATGCAGATGACCACCAACTGCCCCGGCTTCCAGGCCACGGGCAAAGCCATCCCCATGGGGAGAGCGAGACCCTTTGCCAGTGATTTCAGTGGAAGTCTCCAGACTGACAGACTCGCCTTGGTGGGCATTTGAACCCATCCTGACCCAACCACTGGGACTCCTGAACCTCCGCTGGCTAGGCCTGGATCAGTGCCCACCCTGGAGCCGAGGAGGGGCAGCTCCACCCAAGCCAGGAGACAGAGTGGGGGCGGGTGGCCTCCTAAGGGAAGAGTGGGGGGGCGTGCCACTTCTAGAAGAGGGGCAAACCAAAAACAGGTCCCTTGCTCCTCACCCCCTACCCCTTTGTTGCAGGTCTCAGCCCTTGGTCTTGCTTGTCTTATATCCATTCTACCCTCCATTGCTGGAATAACTTGCTAAAGCACATCTCTAATCAAGTCACTCCTCTGGTCATTAACCTTCCATGGCTCCCCTCTACCCACTGAATTAAGCACAGGCTGTCTGATAGGCATTCCACTCTGTTTGTCCTCACCCACATCTCCTGCCCAGTAGCTTCCCTCACCCTGATGCTATGTAACACTCCCAGCCTGGCGGCCTTCAATTTTGGAGGTTCCCACTGGGTAGAATTCCTCTTCCCTATCTCAGCCCATGTAGGAGTCAGCCACCCACCGAGCCTACTGTGATCCCTTCTTTATTTCAACAGCCAGGACACTTTGGAATCTGAAAAGCTCTAGATTCACATCCCAACTCTGCCTCTCACTCACTGTGTGGCCTTGGGCAAGAATGTCCCTTCCTCTGTGCTGCAGTTTCCTGAGCTGTAAAATGGGGGTCCTGACAGTGTCTACCGCTGATGGTAACTGGGAGGGTTAACTGAAATAATCTGTCTCAAGTGAGAACACAGGCCCCTGATGCACATTGGCTGTCGTTACTGTTGCTTTGGTATCGTTATTTTTACTCTTATAGCACCTATGATGACAGTGTGCTTTCTGTTCTGAAGCTTCCAGTGCATGCCCCAGCTCAGCGCACAGTAGGCACTCAACCCCAGTTAGCTCACAGTGGGCGCGTTAGGCATTCGGCCCCATGTGGGCACACATTAGACTGTTGGCCCAGGTGCGCATGCAGTAGGTGCTCAGCACATGGTAAGAGGTGGTTAGCACAGTGGTTAAAGGTTTAGGCTGCATCGGACAGCCTGGGTTCAAATACTCGCCAGTCATGTGAGCTGGAGCAGGTGAGTTACCCACCTGCTCATCCTTCTGCTATAATGTGGTCATTAGGAGGATTAAGGAAGCAAGCAAGTCCATGGTGCCAAGGACGTAGTAAGTACTCCATAAGTGTTAATAACTGTGATTGCCATCTCATTGGTGGAATGTAATTGACACGGAAGTAGAGTATGTAGTCTGAGCACCAGACAGGTGGGAGGGTGAAGAGATGATGGGGAGGAAATGGGTACTGAGCTGTGCTAGAGGGTCTCTGGATCCCCCGACAGAGCCATGGGGAGTCAGGAGCCACGTGGAGGAGGAGCAGGGCTCAGCTGGCAAAGGCCACGGGGAAGGAGCCATTTGGCAGACTGATTGGACACAGGACCTCTCTGCGGCAGAAAGGCTTCCAGATCACGTCTGTGTGATGAGGCAGTGTCTCGGGCTGGCCATGAAATCACGTTTTGTTTTGCACCTTACAAGTAGTACATGTTCCCTTGTAGAATTTCAGAAAGCAAGACTGAGCAAAAAGAAGAGAATCAAAACCAGATGTAGTTCAGGTATAGCTTTCCCACTCAGAAGTTTGTTCATTCATTCTCTTTCCTTCCTTCCTGCAATGTACAGGAGCAGCTATTCTGCAGGGTACTGTTCTGGGCACAGAGGATAAATATAGAAGCAGAGAAGGCCCCTGTCCTCATGGAGCTGATAATTTATTGTCCTCCCCCAGCTTTTAAAATGGCTGCATAACGTTCTCTCATATAAATGTAACATTGTTTAACGGATCCTTTATTGATGGACCCCAAAGTATTCTGTTGCAAGCAGTTTTATTTTGGAAAGAATCCAGGCATCTGGGAATGAATCCAGTTTTCTGTTGGTGCAGATTTTAGAGCTGGTGGGTTATGAGCATCGATGCTGGAGGCAGGGTGTCTTGCCTTGACTTGTAGCCTTGGACAAATCTCCCAGATTCTCTGTTTCCTCATCTGTAAGATGGGGATAATGATTGCACATAATACACGGGGTTGTTGTGAGGATAAATTGACAAGATACCAGTGCCTGGTATCGCTTCAGTGCTTGATAAATGTGGTTATTGTTAACGTAGCACCTTCTTGGAAGGTGTTGGACATCAATGGATAGGTTGAAATAAGCTTGATGTGTGGGGTGGTTACCAGAAAAATGCATTCGTTGAGGACGGTGTCAGCATGAAGCTGGATTTGGGGTAGATGCCCTGTGACGTGGGCTGAATGATGCTCTGGGTGCACATGATATTCCCCTGATGCTGTGGAGTGTTCAGCTGAAAACATCACTCACAGAGAGATGTGGGGTTCGATGTTTTTGTCTGTTCAGCAGCCCATCGTTTAGGGGAACTTCTCCCGCTCATTTCATGATAATCCTGCTCAGCTAATGTAGTTCCAGTGGGGCTGACTCTGCCCCTCCCCACTGGGAAGGCACATGACCCAAACCTGGCCAATCAGAGTAAGCCATCCCTTCTGTTAACTGATTGGTTCAGGGTTGGGCCCATGTGACTCAAGTCACCCAATCAGGTTCATCCCTGAGACTTTGGATAGAGTTGTTGGGAAAGAGTCCTTTTGTCTTTCCCTGGGATTAAGACCTGTAAGCATAATGAAGGCTTGGAGCTTGTGGGACCTGTCTACCGTTTGGAGAGAGAACCTGTCTGAGAACTCAGGAACAGAGCCAAAGATGGGAATGAAGACCAGATGACATGGCTTAAACTCTGGGATCCAGCCATGCCTGAAGCTCTTGCTTTAGCTTGTTTGCTTTATGAGCCAATTAAATTTGTTTTTTCTTAAGCCAGCTTGAGTGGGTTCTCTATCATTTCTATCTAAATGAATCCTTGGGCCGGCTCCGTGGCTTAGCGGTTAAGTGCGCGCGCTCTGATGCTGGCGGCCCGGGTTCGGATCCCGGGCGCGCCCCGAGGCACCACTTCTCCGTCCAACCCGGGGCCGAGTCCCACGTACAGCAACTAGAAGGATGCGGACCTATGACGTACAACTATCTACTGGGGCTTTGGGGGGAAAAAATGAATAAATAAAATCTTTAAATGAATCCTGGCCATAGCCCCAGGGGAGACAGCTTGACAGGCTAAGAGAGGAGAATCCGGGTTGGGCAAGGAATTCAAACCCTCTCATGTGAGAATTGACTGAGGAAATTGAGCATTTTTAGCTTGGAGAGTACCTCAGGGGGACATGAGTGTTGTCTTCAGATGTTCGAAGGGCTGTTGTGTGGAAGGTGTGGACTTCTTCAGTGTTCCTACCCACCCCCCCAACCCCATGTGGTAGAAGAAGGTTAAATAGTAGAAATTTCAGGGGTAGATTTTTGAGTTCACCTAAGGAAGAACTGTCATCAAGTTAGAATGGGCTGTCACTGGAGGTAGTGAGACCCTCATCATAAGAGGTATGTCAGGAGACATACCTGCCCAACCACTTGGCATAGGTGTTTAAGAAAGGGATTGAAAGAGGCCTTCATTGGCCATGCACTCTCCTTCTCTCTCACAGCCCCCTTCTCTGATCTGTTCTGCTCCCAGGAAGAGTGACACAATGCATTAGCAGAGGCCTGGGTGATGCCCCTCTGGGATGGGGTCAGCCCTACCCGGGACTGAGGGTGGTAATGGGATAGTTCCTAAGGAAAACGGGGGTGTGTTTACTGTTAAAGAAAAAATTATTCATTCTGACACTCGTTAAAGAACGGTAAGGTAGACTTGATGCAGGGGAACTGTTGGGGTGGGGATGGGGTTTTGCAGTAGGGGCGAGAGATGGGCTCAACTCTGAATACAATAAGGAAAAGTGGGAATTTTTAGTCGAGGAGCAGGATGGGAGGTCAGAAAGTTACCAAGAGGAAATGTGAGGGTGAGGGGGGATTCTGGTAAACTGACCTAACAGGATTCTTGCTGAACACAGGCCAGGTGGTCAGACGTCACCTGGGGGTGGTGGAGGATGAGGAACCCATTAGATATCGAGGGTGATCTGACTCACAGTGTGGGAGATTCTGGCTAAACTGACTTAGCAGGATTCTTGTTAAAACTGGATAGTGCAGAGATGAACACGGAAGCCCAAAAGTTGAGACCTGGTTGAAAAAGAACTCAGAAGAGCCTGATTAGAGTTTGTTCAAGGAGAGAATCTTTGCCGTTACCAAGAGAAGAGAGATGGGTGCAGAAGAGACAAAGACACTGGCTGTGGGTGGCCTGCGTGTGTAGCTGTACAACACGCATGCGGTCGGCAGCCTATTCATCATGCCGTTGCGTGCTTGGATTTTTCCCCCTAGCTGCACATACACATATGGATTTCAGAAATTTGAGTGAGAAGGAAGCGAGAGAAATTGTCTAGTGAGTCTCAGGGAATATGAGGTCTAAAGGAAGCTTTAAATCTGTGACAGTGCTTTGGACACTGCAAAGTGCTGAACAGTCGGTCAGTCATGCAGTCAACAAACATTAATTGAGCATCTGCTTTGTTCCAGAAACAACGTTGGGTTATGATTTTTAAATGGCACCCTGAGGGCTATTGAGCCATTACCTTCATAGTTTTCTGCAATATCCAGTCTCCCACTGCCTTTTTTTCCTGCACATCTATTGTTGGAGGTCCTGAGCCACATTGCGTGCCTTCTTTGTGTCATGAGATGCATGGGCTTTGTGACAGATCTTTTGGATTGCCTCTTGATATTTGTGTTTGCTTTTGAGTTTGTGGCCACGTCTCCCATGGGGAAGGTTAGTAGATGTCCATCTTCCTGGTGAGAAGGGTGTCCCTTGTTCAGAAAAAGTCTTCAGTTAGTTGAATTGAATTGAGTTTTTGCTCCTTGAAAATCCTTTGGAGTTAATGCAAACTTTTTGAAAGTACTGCTTGTGGACTGTAGAGGTGTAATCTCTGCCTCCTCGTCTCTATCCTTTCCTCACCCCCTTCCATGCTGCTGTCCCCCCGCACCCAGAGCGTGGAACCCCTTGCGTAGGTCTTCAGGAATCTTCTGGGTGCCAGATTTCGTGGCTGTTTATTCCTCTTCACCTCCCTCCAGCATTTGGCAGTGACTTCTGCTTACTGAAGAAATGATTTCCCCGCCCCCTGCTTCTGCCCGACACCGACACCGCTCACTCAGTTCTCCTTTTATGTCTCTCATCTCTTGTTCTCGCTTCCTGCTGCTGGTTCTCCTTCCCCTTTGTGTGGGTGTTTCCAAGGGCTCCACCCTTGACCATGGCTTTCCCTCTCCAGGACATGTCGAGCGGCTACTGTGCGCTGAGCCCTTCCCCGAGTGCTGAGTTGGGCCCTTCCCATGACCCCAGTGAACTTGCGGTCGGGGCCAGAGGTGGCTTCTGAACTTCCCAGCAGGTTGCATCCACTCCTCTCCCCTTAGGAACCTTTGGGAGCGTCTGCCCATATGGTCCAGAATCTTAGAGATGACATGGAATGCCCTTTATGACGGATGCTTACCAGCTAACCCCTCCAGGGCACGTCCCCAACATGTTTGATTCTGACCTCATGGATGGCCGAGTGCCAGGCACTGTGTGGGCGCTTTGCATGTGTTAGCTCATCTGATTTTCCTTCTCCAGGAGGGAATCATGAATGCAGTGACACCTGTAAGTAGGAGTTATCCCCATTTTACTGATGAGGAATCTGATGGTTTCCTTGGAGAGTCGAAAGTCACTTGCTTGAAATGGCGCAGTACGTGGAAAAACTGGACTTGGAACCCAGATCTGTGTTGGAGGCTCCTAGCTTGTCCCCTGCACTGTGCTGCCGTGCCCTCCCCCTTCTGTATGACTTGTGCACAGTCTCCCCTCTTCCTGCACTGTCTTCATCCATTTTGCTTTTCTGGAGGACTTCTATACATCCGTCAAGACCCAGCGTAAATGTCCCCTCTGCTCAGATGCCCTCCTTGTCTTTGTGATGCTTGCCACATTGTGTGGTGGTTGTGTGCGTGTCTGTTTCCTCAATTCCATGGCGAGATCCTGGAATGAGGGACTTTGTCTCTCTGGAGGTGGTGTCCTCAGTGGAGAATCCCCAACCCTCATGGTCTGCCAGTCCTTGGGTGTGTCACTCCCTCGTGTGGGCCCAAGTCATGGGCGGTAGCACCTACCAGTTTCCCAAGCTATATCCGCATGACACTCATGTATCTGTCGTCTGACTCTCCTGCTAGAATCTGAGCTCCTGCGGGGCAGAATCCTGGTCCGTTTGGCTCTGCTGTACCGTCAGTGCCCGGAACAGCACCTGCCGTTCTCCTCAGGTGATGGCTGAGTAGAGGAATGCACGAGTCCCCTGACACGTGTGCGAGCTGAGCTCGCCCCTGGAAGGCCTGCTGTCCCCTCTGCTGGCCCGGATGGAGGGTCTCAGGCACTGGGGCTCCCTGGCCGATGCCCCCGTGCTCCACTGGCCTCTGGCCTAGGTCTTCTGCCCCGGAGCCCCTGCTTGGCTGCATTCCGCACAGACTTAATTTTTTACGTTTGGCTTTCAGATTCAGCTCTGTGGCCTCGGCAGGGCCGGGTCCGCAGAAGCCTGTGTCTGAAGGCGGGGCTGTTACCTCAGCATTTTGTATTTTATTTCATCAGTGAATTTGAAGTTAACCTTCCTTAGATCCTGTTTTAGTTCTGGACTTAGTCTGTGGTCATCTGTCTCATTTTTCTGTGTGCATTTGTTTTATCTTCTATGCATTTATGTAAGCTTCCTTGCCAATAATAAGTAATAATTATGCTTAAAAAAATATGGTGAACACTGGGCCTTTATTGTGCCAGGCATTGTGCTGAGGTCATTGTATGTATGTCTTATGGCTGCTGTAACAAATGACCACAAACTTAGTGGCTTAAAACAACATAATTTTATCATCTTACAGTTCTGGAGTTCAGAAGTCCAAAATCAGTCTCAAGGGGCTAAAATCAAGGTTTGAGCAGGGCTGCTTCCTTCTGAAGGCTCTGGGGGAGCATCATTTCCTTGCCTTTTCTAGCTTCTAGAGACTCCTGTGTTCCTTGGCTCATGGCCCCTCCCTCCACCTTCAAGGCCAGCAATGGCCGGTTGAGTCCTTCTCACGAAGCCATCTCTGGTTCTGCTCTCCTGTCTCCCACTGCCCCATTCGAGGATGTTCATGATGAGATTGGACCCACCCGTGTCATCTGGGATCATCTCCCCATGTCGAGATCCTTCACTTAATCACTTCTGCCAAGTCCCTTTTGCTGCATCAGGTCACATAGTCCCAGGTCCCAGAGATTAGGACACAGACATCTTTGGGGGCCTTTGTTTTGCCTGCCGTAGACGTCTAATCATGATTTCCTTTCATCTATACCACGACCCAGTGTGGTTGGCCCTGTTCTTGTCCCCACTTCATAGATGGGGAAACTGAGGCTCAGAGACATGAAGGCAGTGGCCTAAGGTTGCACAGAGGCTGAGCTGTGTTCCTTCCCTGGTGCCTGTGCTCCTGGCGCCACTCCTCACACCATGCTGCTTCCAGACACTGGCAACTGAAATTCTTTTGAACAAGGAGGGAAGATCATAGACAAGCTCTTTTCTTTTTCTTTCTCTCTTTTTTTTTTCAGTTTTATTGAGAAATAATTGACGTACATCACTGTATAAGTTTAAGGTGTACAGCATGATGGTTTGACTTACATATATTATGACAAGATTACCACCATAGGTTTAGATAACATCCATCATCTGGTCTAGAGACAGTAATAAGAAAAGAAAAAAAACCTTCTCCTTGTTATGAGAACTTGTAGGATCTACTCTTAACGACTTTCCACAAGCTCTTTTCTTGAAAGTTGAAAGTTAGGGGACGGACCTGAGGCCGGTGTCTCTGGCTGGTGGCACATTTGTGGGAATACGCAGCTCAGAGCTACTTTTTCTGCCTTTGTTGAAGTGGAAACCCTGTGCTGGTCTCTGGGGAGCGACACTCTGTAATTCAAACGCCTCCATCCTTCCCAGGGTAAAATTCTTTTTTTTTTTTTTATTTACTTTTTCTTTTTTTATTTTTGTGAGGAAGATCAGCCCTGAGCTAACATCCGTGCTAATCCTCCTCTTTTCGCTGAGGAAGACTGGCCCTGAGCTAACATCTATTGCCAATCCTCCTCCTTTTTTTCCCCTAAAGCCCCAGTAGATAGTTGTATGTCATAGTTGCACATCCTCTGGTTGCTGTATGTGGGACGCGGCCTCAGCATGGCCCGACAAGCAGTGCGTTGGTGTGCGCCCGGGATCCGAACCCCAGCCGCCAGTAGCGGAGCGCGCGCACTTAACCGCTAAGCCACGAGGCTGGCCCCCCAGGGTAAAATTCTGATTTCGCTACTTTTGTCTGAAAGGATGTCCCTTGGAGGTCGTCTGATCTGACCCGGAAGTAGTTTTCTTCCCTTTTTTGGCTATAATTCTACCCTGACTATAGAATGGAGTGGATTGTTCATGGTTTGCAAATAAAGGAAGTTGCTGCCTTGGGCAGGCCAGGGGCCCCTGTGGGTCATGCTGGGGCTTCTGGGGAGGAGGGAAAGGAGCCAGGCTCTGGGCAGCCCCTGGCTGAGCCCCCTGCCCGACAGAGGAGGGCCTGTGTGCACTCCTGTGAGCTCTTGCAGCCCTGAACTGGGATACCACTCACTCTGTGGCTTTTTTTTTTTTTATTGGTGAGGAAGATTAGCCCTGAGCTAACATCTGTTGCCAGTCCTCCTCTTTTTGCTGAGGAAGATTGGCCTTCGGCTAACATCTGTGCCCAACTTCCACTACTTTATGTGTGGGACGCCACCACAGCATGGCTTGATGAGCGGTGCGTAGGTCTGTGCCCAGGATCCGAACCTGGGAACCCTGGGCTGCCGAAGCAGGGCGCGCGAACTTAACCGCTGCACCACCAGGCCGGCCCCTGACCCGCCGTGTTCTTGATTTGGCAAAACCTACTGCTGTGTGTCCGATTTTGGGAAAGTAACTTACCTTCTTCTTTGGCGACTTGTAATTACTCATTCATCCAACAAATATAAATCGAGGACCTACTATGTGCAAGGTGCTTTGGACCCTGGGGAGGTTGAGTGAGCTGAGTCACAGGCCTACGTTCTGCTGGGAGAGCAGGGACAGGTGATAGACAAGCCAGCAAATCAGATCATTTCAGACTGAGATGAGGGCCATAAAGAGAAGAGAACAAAGCAGTGGGCTGTAGAGAGACTGCAGAGAGGCCGCCGTTAGCCAGCGTGCTCAGGGGAGGCCTAAAAGGAGGTGACACCAAGACAAGACCTGAACGAGGAGCTGGACTTGCAGGTATCTGGGTGAGGATTGGGCCCAGCGAAAGGGAAGGCCCTCAAGTCACAGATCCGATAATGGTCTAGTGTCCAGAATATATAAAGAACTCTTACAACTCAATAACAGCAAGACAAACAATCCAATTAAAAATGAGCAAGGAATTTGAATGGATATTTCTCCAAAGAAGACATACAAATGGCCAATAAACACATGGAAAGATGCTCAACATCATTAGCCATTAGGGAGCAAATCAAACCACAGTGAGATATCACTTCACACGCACTAACAGGCTGTAATAACAGGTGTTGGTGAGGATGTGGAGAATCAGGACCCTCGTGCACTGCTGGTGGGAGAGGAAAATAGTGTAGCCACTGTGAAAAACAGTTTGGTAGTTCCTGAACAGATTAAGCCTAGCAGTCCCAAGAGAATTGAAAACATATGTCCTCACAAACACTTGTAAATAAATGTTCACAGCAGCATTATTCATATTAGCTAAAAAGTGGAAACCACCCAAGTGTCTTTCAACTGATGAATGGATAGACAAAATGTGGTCTGTCCATACAATGGAATAGTATTCAATCATGAAAAGGAATGAAATAGTGACACATGCTACAACATGGCTAAAACCTTGAAAACATTGTGCTCAGTGAAAGAAGCCAGGTATGAAAAGGCCACATATTGTATGATTCCATTATATGAAGTTTCCAGAACAAGCAAATCTGTGGAGACAGAAAGCAGATTAGTGGTTGCCAGGGGTGGGGACAGGAGATGAGGAGTGACTGCTAATGGGTATGAGGTCTCGTTTTGGGGTGATGAAATGTTCTGGAATTAGACAGTGGTGATGGTTGCACAACCTTGTGAATATACTAAAACCCACTGAATTGTACACTTAAAAGGGGTACATTTTATGGTGTGTAAACACTATCTCAGTTTTTAAGATGTAAAGAAGAAAAGGGGTGAGCGGCAGGACAGAAACCGAGCAGGGCCCGGGTGCCTGTGTGCAGGGAGCTGGGGCTGGGGGTGGGCGGGGGCCAGAGCACGGGGCGGGCCTTGAGGGCAGTGGTGGTGAGGACTCTGGATTTTACTTGAGTGCTGTGCATTTTATTCCCACTCCTTTGGTTCTACGACCTTCTAGAATTTCACCTTGGCCCTTTTTGTGGCTAATTCCCCGGTCAGTTCTGTCCCTTTTCCCTCCATTTCAGACCTACCTTTCCCCTCGGGGACTCTCCAGTACCCCCATCCCACAGCTGCACTCAGCCCGCCCCTGCCTGGCGCGCCTCCGTGTGGACTTGACTGTGTGTGTTCTCATTTGCCCGCTGCCTCCACGTGCTCCGTAATGTTAGCACTGTCCTTCTCCTGGGGGTCATCTAATGCTTCTCGCCACCTGCCATGTGCCAGGCCCGATTCCGAGGGCTTTCCACTATTGACTCATCCCGATGACTTAAGAAAAGTCGGCACTTAAGAAAAGTGGAAGCTCTGCCTTGGGTATTCATGTGGGTTAATAAATAAGGGAATCAATTCAAGAGTAAAATGAGTCAGCTGTCAGCATGGGGGCAGACTCCAGGGCTGCCAGTGTGAACAGCCACGGGCATGGAAACCCTCTGTGGTTCTGTCCCCACCACCCAGGGGCTCTGGGGCAGAGACGGAGAAGCCACCCCAGCCCAGAGAGCTGAGGGTTGGGAGGGGAAGCCACTGGGCTGTGGTCACAGGTGGAGAGGCAGAGCCGGACGTGAAGGGTCTCCTGGCCCTCTGGGGCTGCTGAGGATGAGCGCTGGCTTTGCTCCTCTGCGGTGCTGCCCTTGGTGACGTGGGCGGGAAGGTGGAGAGGAGCCCCCACAGTATGCAGGCGGTGCCCACTTAGCCGCATCGCGCTGTTGGTCTGCCCTTCCCACA